AATCTAATCCACTCTCGTGCGCAGATTTCCTAGTTCCCGGAGAGATGGAGCTACAAGCCGGTACTTTGGTGGACGAGACGCTACAGTTAAACGCTTGCGGGGTGGTTGGGTACTGCAGCGAGTCAGTGGACGACCTGGACATGAATTTCATGTCTGACTTGCTGCAGTCCGAGAGCATCTCGCGAGTGGAGTTTCTGCCCACGAGCAACGAATATGGAGACTCTTCACCGACGGACAGCCTCAGTAGGTATGTGATTAATACGAGTGGCAACAAATACCTGTGCTACGACTGAGCTTATTAGTGCTGCGACGACGACTGACAGACCCAAGAGAGCGCTGTCCTCACCTTCAACGTCGGAGATTGCAGAGGCTGAGCCTGAACGGGAGCAAGATAGACCACTGATTGATCGCAACGCAAGACGACGAGCACAACTCGCCAGCAGTGCTCGGCGACTGCGGTGCAGAAAGAAGGTGAGTTTAAGCACCTTCTGCCTGTCTTGATGGACTCTTTAACGTTCCGGTTATGGTTGTTGCTTTTTTTCCAAGGGTGAGAGGATGACGCTGAAGACTGAGGCGAATTTCTTGGAGCAACAATTGCAAACTCTCCGTTCAAAGCACAAGCAAATGCGCGCTAATAACGCTATTGCAGCTTGGGAGGAGAGAGCTATTGCGCAGCGTCACAAGCGGAGACAGGCAGAGAAAACGAATGAACAGCTACGGCACGCACTATTCCTACAGAGCGGGTTTGTGCGGAATCTCCGGTCGATGTTCTGCGACGCGATGCCTACCAGCATTGAGTTGAATATGCGCAACTTCCTGCATACCCCCACGCGTCTACTGAAGGACCAACATTCTCGAGTACGAAATTTGGAGAGCATTTGCACCGACGCGAAGTTAGACATGGCCAAGCAGATTATCATGGAGGAAACGGGTGGAATCAAGCCATTCATAACGCCGCACATTGCCTGCCAGCAGATCGATCTAGGACGTGATGGCTTTGGAATGACCACGGTCGCTGTGTACGCGCTGGAAACGCGAAATGCGTGTAAAACTTTCAAGGCTACGTGCAGTGCCGTCATGAACTGCGCGGTGGTGTGGCCCAACTATACACTTGTGACCTCCTCGTTGAAGACCGCCGACCTTCCCCCGACGAAGCTCAACATTCGATACGGAATGTCCCACAACATCTACGAGAGCGATGCTACGGGTGATCGGGTGTCCGTGGAGGGACGAGAGATCTCGTACTACCGTATGACCAAGGACTGCGGCATCTTCTTATGGGATTATGTAGATGTGGATGACATGAATCCGATGCAGAAGGATACGACTGCCATGCGCTGCACGACCGGAGCGTAAGTAGGCTTTGGTTTGTACATGTACATTTGAGATCGATGCACTAACAAGTGACAAATGTGGTTATTGTCTGCAGGGTACTGGTGCGGGTCGAGACTTGCATCGACGGCGTGGAGCGTATCGTTTGCCGCAATATTTGCACAAAGGTGCATCACTTGGACTCGTCGGAGCAATCACCAAGTTTGGAACGCTTTTCAAAGTCGAGGCAGCTACAGTATGCATGCGCGCAGATCTGCGGATCGTTGGTATACGAGACAATCAAGAATGACGCAGTGATCAGCTCGTATTGAAAGTGATACGAGACGCATGTCCCCATTTTCGATGTTATGGTCAAATCGATATACTTTAGCGATAATCGCCCGACGAGGTTTTTGCCCACCGTGCCGCGATTTTTTGAAATATGGGGTGCAAGGCACAGCTACCAGATAACTCGCGGGATCTTTACTACTCGCGTATGATAGTGATCTGCTTTGAGGCTTCGCCGACAGCTTGTGCTGCTGATAAGCACAGCACATTTATCAAGCGCAACGCAAGGTTATTGGGGAAACATTACCAAGAAATAATTAAACATTATGATTGGTGCTGCGTCCGGAGGTGTGCCGCAGTATCTGTACTGTCTTGCGAACACTGTGTCTTGCGAACACTGGGTATTGGCCCAACTACAACTAAAATGTGGCAGATTTGGCACTTGTTGGAAGACTTATACGAGGAAGGAGTAGGCAAAACACTACAGGTATTAAAATATGTAATAGCGACTCTAGCAAGCAGCGAATGCAGTTTCACATTTTCTCAGAAAATCTGGATTATCTAACAACACAGTAAAAATCTAGACATATTTTTGTTTTATTTTTTAATTTGAAGCAAGTTTGTCTAAATTTTATGAACATGTTCTTTTTAAAGACAATTTAAGAAATTAAAACAAAAATCTGTTTAGATTTTGTTTTACAAAATCTGGGCTGTCTAAAAGATACTATACTTGTATTTAAAATTTAGGGTGGTTACAGCAGTAACATCCTTACTTCGAAGTACGAGAATGGACCAGACCGACGACAGCTCTGTGCGACGGAAGACTCTGCCCATGACGACTGATGAGCCGGGCCTAAGAGGGCTCACACCTAGTCTGCAGAGTCCCGCGTCTATTGGGCTCGGCTCGCTTGACGTTGGTACGAAATGCCGCCTTTAGCACTCTCATCCCTGCTTCATTTTCAGTCACTAACTCTTTATAGATTCCCTGGTGCCCGAAGAGATGGAGCTGCAGACTGGCGCCTCAGTAGACGAGCCTCTTCAGCTAAACGCTTGTGGGGTGGTGGGGCACTGTAGTTCCAATAGCTCAATGGACGATCTGGACATGAATTTCCTGTCCGACTTGCTACAGTCCAACAGCTCGCGAGTGGAGCTTCTGCTCACGAACGAGTCGGGGGATTCACCACCGACAACAGACAGCCCCAGTAGTGATGCAGCTGATACGAGTAGCAGTACTGAGGAGCCTATGAGAGCTACGATGGGGACTGCCAGACCCAAGAAAGTAAAGAAAACGCTGTCGACGAGTTCATCTTCTAGTATGTCGGACGTGGCAGAGGCTGAGCCTGAACATAACAAAGAGAAACGAGTGACAGATCGCAAGGCGAGACGGCGAGCGCAAGTCGCCAGCAGTGCTCGGCGACTGCGGTGCAAGAAGAAGGTGTGTTGGTCATCTAGTGGATGACGTGACAGACTCATTGACTAATTTATCTTACCTGGTGAATTACTAATTTACTCAGTATGAGATGATAACGCTGAAGACCGAGGCGAATTTCTTGGAGCAACAATTGCAAACTCTCCGTTCGAAGCACAAGCAAATGCGCGCTAATAACGCTATTGCAGCTTGGGAGGAGAGAGCTATTGCGCAGCGTCACAAGCGGAGACAGGCAGAGAAAACGAATGAACAGCTACGGCACGCACTATTCCTACAGAGCGGGTTTGTGCGGAATCTCCGGTCGATGTTCTGCGACGCGATGCCTACCAGCATTGAGTTGAATATGCGCAACTTCCTGCATACCCCCACGCGTCTACTGAAGGACCAACATTCTCGAGTACGAAATTTGGAGAGCATTTGCACCGACGCGAAGTTAGACATGGCCAAGCAGATTATCATGGAGGAAACGGGTGGAATCAAGCCATTCATAACGCCGCACATTGCCTGCCAGCAGATCGATCTAGGACGTGATGGCTTTGGAATGACCACGGTCGCTGTGTACGCGCTGGAAACGCGAAATACGTGTAAAACTTTCAAGGCTACGTGCAGTGCCGTCATGAACTGTGCGGTGGTGTGGCCCAACTATACACTTGTGACCTCCTCGTTGAAGACCGCCGACCTTCCCCCGACGAAGCTCAACATTCGATACGGAATGTCCCACAACATCTACGAGAGCGATGCTACGGGTGATCGGGTGTCCGTGGAGGGACGAGAGATCTCGTACTACCGTATGACCAAGGACTGCGGCATCTTCTTATGGGATTATGTAGATGCGGATGACATGAATCCGATGCAGAAGGATACGACTGCCATGCGCTGCACGATCGGAGCGTAAGTTAACTTTGCGTATTCTTTCTTTGTTTATGATGAAGTGTTCTAACAATGGGATTGCTGCTGCTATGGCTTGCAGAGTACTCGTACGACCCGAGATCTGCGTCGATGGAGTGGAACGCATCGTTTGCCGCAATATATGCACTAAAGTCCACCTCGTGGATTCGTCCGAGCTGACACCGAGCTTGGAACGCTTTTCGAAGTCGAGGCAGTTGTGTGCTAAGATCTGCGGATCGTTGGTTTACGAGGCCATTAAAAATGACGCAGTGGCCAGCTCGTGTTGATGTACCGCGTGCAGTAGAGTGATTGCGCAGAAGTGATAATACATGTACTTCACGAGTACACGGACTTAGTTGTCCATATTTTTCCGTGTATTAAACTCAGTTCTCTGTATAACGTCTCCAAGACTTCGTTCATTCTTCAGAATATATCAAAGGATAACTCTAAGGCTTGATCATATTATCGTTATTAATTTTCCGGGTGAAAATTAATAACGATAATATGCCTAGCTGCAAACTATTGGTGTTGTGCACTGACAGATATATACCGGTGGAGCGGAGAGACGTACCATGTAGTACGACACTACCATTCGTCTCTGGCGAAGGCATATGTGTGTTAGTCGCCGCTGCTAGCTAATGACGGCACTACCGGGTCCAATACAAACGCCTCCTCGAACTCGGCGGTGCTGAAAGCGAAAGGAAAGTCTGAACAGGAACTGAATGAAAAGGGGCAACTCAATTCCGACTTTTCCTGTGCCATGACGGCTCCGTAGACCACACTTTCCAGTCTCCAATCGCAGCTTTAGTTATTTAGTACTACTGTACTTCGTAGTACTATCGGGTACGCAGTGCGTTTCGTGGAGGGGAACATGCTGGCAGTATGTTTCCCTCCACGAAACTCACCGAGTCGGTGACACCGACAGCATGATGCTGCCTTGCAACTTGCCTTGTCAGCTGATCTACAAATGACGTGCGATCTGCTCGTTCTGAATCAAAATCTGATTGGCCCACCAAGTTTGGCGCATATACAAATTGATGAACTCGATTACGAGGACGAATATTGTCGACGAATCTCGCCGGGGCTGAAGGAAGACGACAGAGCTCAGTCAACAATTGGCATACACCCGGCACGTAGTACCAACTAGCAACTACATCGCTATGGCGTATCTTGACGATGGATCGATCAGTGAGGGCGAAGCAGACTTCGACATGAATTTGCTGTCTGAATTCCTCTTCCAAGCAGACGAGATGCCCAAGCTAATCGACAATAGCGAGCTTCAGATCATTGCACCCGCGGCAACCAGCACAGACGGCACTAGTAGCAGCGACGACGCGAGCGCTTCGCCTAGTTCTCCCGTGTTTACTATTGGAAATGACGAACCGACGGACCGCAAGGCGAAGCGAAGAGCACAAGTGGCTGTGAGTGCGCGGCGCCACCGCTACCGCAAGAAACACGAGATGCTGGGCCTGAGGAAGGAGGTGGCGGACCTCACCGATCAGTTGCATTCTTTGCGCTCCAAACACAAACTGCTGCGACCAGATGGAGCTGTAACAGAGACTAAGGAATATTATATGGCACAGCGGCACAAGCAGCGTCAGGCGGAGAAGCTGAACGAGCAACTGCGGCGTGCGTTGGTGATGCAACGACGCTTCTTCACTTCGATCCAGGGCATGGTATTGAATTCGCCTATCACGAACGGAGAACTCAATATGTCTACTCTGCTACATACATTCACACACCTCGGACGGACAGCATACGCACGTCGACGTGACTATTTGGCGATGTGCACGGACTCAAAGGCGGACTTGGCCGTGCAGATCCTTTTACGTGAGACTGAGAGAATGGATTTTGCAGGACCACCATCGATTATTGCTCGCAATGTACCAGTCTCGAATGAGCAACAGCAGATCGTGACTACAGTCGCAGCGTATGCGTTTGACTGCTTGGATCTGAAGACTGTTTTCGTGTCAGCGTGTAATGCTGTTCTGGGCTGTGGCACCGACTGGCCGCAGTACACTACAGCGTCACAGAATGGTGAGGTTCTCGATAAGCCCCAAGGGAACATCAGCTACGCAAAATCAGCCACGAATTACAGAAGCATCACTGCTGCAGATGCACAAAATGTGGTAGTAGAGTCTCGCTCGCTTGTATTTTATCGCATGAGCGACGACTATGGTGTGTTGGTGTGGGATTTCGCGGATCAGGATGACCTGTACCCGATCAAACCCGATAAGACTATCAAGCGCGATCTCATTGGAGCGTACGTATTTGTGTTCTTTTAGGCGAGGTAGTAGAATATGGCAGCTAACGGTGTGTTTGCCCGATTAGTGCTATGGTGCGTCGAGAATTGTGTCATGATGGCGTGGAACGAGTGGTATATCGGTCGATCTGCACAAAGCTGCACTCATTTTCACTCCCTGTAGCACCAGAAATCTCAAACTACTTACAGAAGACCGAGGAAGGTGCCAAGGTCTGTGGCGACACTGTGTTCAGCTACATTCGTGAGCGCGCTATGGAGGTTGGCACATGTATGGTCAGAGTGTAAATCGGCAACAGCGTTTAGAGCTCTACGCAAAATAAATTCACACATTAGAAATTATAATTCTTTGCAAAAAAACTGCACACACAAAACACAACCTCAAGTCCACTTTCCCAATTCCTACAGTAATCGCAAGAGCTTAGCTTGTGGTAACACGTGCCTTACACGACAACTTCCGCTTTGGGCACACGCTCTGGGTGTGTTTTTATCAGCAAGTTCCACGCCGAATTCTCCACAGTGTCAGCATTGCGGCAAAACACCGTCAGGAATGCCTCGTTCACTTTGCCACGCGGGTGTGTCATGACTCCAACTGGCGGTGTGCTATGCGTGATGGAACGGAACGTGGTTCGTACACCTTTTTGGTCCGGCATGCGCTCTGACTCCAGAATCATGCTGTACCAAAAAAAAAGAAAAACAGAACACGTTAGCAAAAATACACAAATATTTCCGTAAGCACACAAAAAGCAAACGTACCAGCCAACTTCGTCGTTGCGCAATGTCGTCTCTGGGTTCTCATCAGCTGAAGGTGGATACAGATCGTCGTCTGTGATCGTCTCCCACGTGATCATCACGTAGTCATCACGTACGTGTCGTCGCACCAGGAAGTACGAGTGGAAGTAGACTATACGACCTTTATGGTCCCGAAGCAGCGGGACGATCGTGCGTCCATAGCGAGTGTTGGCATCCAGCTCCATGAGGCGTTCACACGTCACATGGCGTCGGAATCTCTCCGGAACGTCGAACAAGAAGTTGGAAAATGAGTTCCAGCAGGCATCGCCCACTTCGTGATGGGTAAAACCCGATACAAGCCGTCCACGCACTTGTTTGATCTCGAGATCCGGTCCGTTCGAGTTCAGTTTGATGTCCGTCAAAGGATACGACGTCCCAGCGCCAAATTCCGCGCGAATGTACTGCTCTCCAATAGCCATGCGCTTGTCAGCAATGCGTGTCAACATGGTCGATCGCTCGAGTGTGTCAACAGGCAAGCGGTGGTACCAGTGCTGGATGTGTGGCTTCTGTGGAGGCATCGCGATGATACCGACGTTCGGGTTGGTAAGCACGCTGTTGCTCATGATCTCATCGTCTTCGTCCACTTTCTTGCGCTTGCGGTGTTGTGTGATTACGTCTTGTTCGCGCTTGATGCTGGTGGGGGAGTTGGAGCCTTGGTGGTGGGTCATGATGGCCATCTGCTCCTGCAGCATCAGCACTTGCTCTCTGAGCCTCGCCAGCTCCTCCTTCTGACGGTTACGGTGCTTTCTTGCAGACTTGGCCACTTGTGCACGTCGCCGCAGCTTCTTTTCCTCCTCCGTGAGGCTCTTAACGGGCGCATTGAGGATCTCTTCCGAGTCCTTCATGCAAAAGCTGCCTCCGTCACTGCCGTTCACGCTCGACGGTGGAGAGCAGGTGGGTGAATATGAGCGCGTGGAGCTCGGCGCCGATGCCACGCGGGGACGTGCGCGTTGGCGGTTGCCCGAGCGCGAGTTCTTGAGCGGTGACGCGTCGAAGAACGGCTTCTGCACCTTTGGAGACTCGTGGAAAGCCGATGGGGACAGCGGCAGGTTCAGAGGTTGGTGCAACAAGCCTTCGCCAAAAGATTTTGGCTGCTGGGGGGAGGAGGCAGGCGTTGTGTCGTTCTGGTGCGTGGGTAGCGCCTGCACAGTGGCAGCAAAGTCCAGGTCGGCGATGGAGGAGGGATACCCGCTCAAGAAGAACTCGTTGTCGGGCGAGTCGACGGTCTCCCCTTCGAGAAACGGATACAGCTCGTCCTCCAGCGTGTGTGGCGCTGGCGTTGGGTGGAAGGCGTGCGCAAGTGGCGTCTCCATTGTGCAGGAACTGCGACGACGTTGATCTGCGTCGCGGCTGGTCTCTTGTGAACTGGCGGTGACCGAAGCTGCAGCAACGGGAGAAATAGTTTGGGTGTGTCACATTCAGTATTTTGGGCATAGCTTTCTACAGTTGGAGAGAGCATCAGAGCGACTGTGCTGTTAAATTGTAATTCAATATGAATTATCGTATATTTTAAAGAGAAACAGTTCTTACTTGACAGATCAAAATGTTATTAAAGACAGGGATGTCAAGATGCAACTCAAAGCCCAAAAAAATAAGAAAATCGAACCGCTTGTCATCCCGGACAGGAATCAACGCCTCGATCCAATTGACCACTGCTGCCTCTAGCCCAAGCAGTTATGGTAGAGTTATGGCTCTAGACTGTCGGTTGCCACCTACGTGTAGCGGAGCCCGTCAGGGCTTGACTCAAGCCTCATTGGAAGTCCGTGAGAGCAATCACCGCTATGTCCGCGTAATCGGCGCTGGCCAATCAGCGCGCGCTGCAGACTGATGAAAGAGAGCCGCGTCAGCTCATCGGTGCAGCGACGGACCATATTTTTGACAAGTTGAAGTTGTTTTCGCAGGTATCCGGAGCCCGTTGGCAGGACTCCCTCGTCGCCTTCAACCACGCCTCTCGCTATTTGGTGGGCGCCAAGGCAACGTCCATGCTCACCGCGTCCGAGAGGCGAAGGATGTGGTCGTCCATAATGCTAGGCGGGCTTCTTTGCAAGCAGGCAACGGCTGCTTGGCGCTGACTCTCGTTGTACCCGGACCGCAACGTGGGAGGTTCCGACGGTGATTTGGTGGCGTTAAATGAGGCGATGTAATCGTGAGGGATTTCGTGAGCGGAGACGGGCAGTGTCGGGTACAGTTGTTGTTGCAGTTCAAAGTAGAACTTCTAGTTCTACTACGACAGTGTCGATTGACTCGATCAGCATCACTTGCTGTAGCCGCTTTCTGAAGTTGCCACCGCGCGTGAAAAGCTCAGAGCTGCAGTTCCAATAAAATTTATAATAAACCTCCTCGGGTAGCATGACGTACAGCTGTGCACTAGTACTGTAGTACAGACTACATGTTGTGGTTGCCGAGGCAGCGCGTTAATAACTTCAACGTGATAAAGCAGGTTTTGACTCAATAACTTTGACTCAAGACTCTGGTGCAGAAGCAAGTGGAACGCAAGGTGTTAAACGCGTCCAGCGTAGCCAACCAAAACCTGATTGCGCGCTCCAGACTATGCTGGTGACCAGCCTGGTCCGGCATTGCTGATTATGAGGTGACGTCGAATCGAAGGCTCTGCTGTGCGAAGATCCATTGACAAAATCGTCGCACGCATTCTCTTACATGGGCTCATCGTGTTCCAACCTTTTTGAAAGTATGATAGCCCCAGGTTCGCGTTCAACGTTCTGAAAATCATTTGAAGTGTGAAGTAAGATTCATCCGTGAGATTAATTCAATCAGAACTTCAGCTTCTGAAGCAAACGAGCTGGCCCACCCTGCCGTCATTCTTACGTACCTTTTGACAGAGACACGATGAGATACTCTGCGATCGCCGACCAATGGAGTCAGTATCCATAAAGTACATGCACATACATGATGCATGCGAGCCTTCTGCCACAAGTTGTGTCGACAGGGTTTTCAAATTGTCTAATAGAGCGATTCCCGCAGCCGTTTGAACGCATTTGAATTCTAAACTGATGTCCTTTTTCAAAATCCAAAACTCGTTTGATTTGGAATCTGAAGGGGGGTACCCCCTCTTTCAGATTTATTCTTTTGAACTGTGAATGTTTTTGTCCAATTAATTCTGTAGTGTGACCCTTTAGGAAAATCAAAATGGAACCGACGGGTGCGCTGAAGTTGCTGCTGCTGGAGCAGCGCTCTCTCATCGACCACACGCTATATCCGCTGCTAGAGGATGCGTCGGTATGTCATTGCCGTCGTCATGTGCAATAGTTGAATCCCATCTCACACTACAAGTCGGGCCGTGCCTTTATTTGGTTGCAGCTCGAAGATCTGTTGGCGTATTTCCAGTCGACTCTACTGGATCTGCAACACCAAGAACCATCATTTTGGCAAGTGCAAGTAGTGAAGCTCGTCCGGAGCGTACTTAAATCACGATTGGGCGGCTGCATCGATGCAGTAGTGAGAGCCTCAGCCTCCGGGGTTCCGCAGGATCCTGTACTTGGTTTAAACCGTGTTAAGGCTCAAGTACAGGCGAGTAGCGAATTGCAGGAAGCTCTGGTGCTATTGCAGCATGACGTGGAGAAGGAGGTTGTCAGACTGAAGGAGATACTGAATTCTGACAAAGAAAATGATCCAAAAGCTACAGATACGGACGAGCATTTCCTGATCAAGTTCTGGGAGAAACTGCAGCATGTGGTTGAGATGAGAAAGAAACAGCAGAAGTTGAGCGAAGAACGAGAAGCAGAAGGAATCGACCAGGAATTCGAGAATTGCTCGTTCGAGAGGCTCAGCTTTGATGAGGATTTCAATGACATGTCCAGGTCGGCGATGAGGTGCGTTGAAGCGAAGAATGTGCATTAATAAGGAAAGCATAACTTATCAATTTTGTTTTTTTTCTGGATGATAAGTTTTCCGTGTATGGAGGACTTTCCGACGACAATTAGACGGATGCAGAGTATGGAGATAGCAGAGAGGGCAGCTAGCTTGGATGAGTTTATGCAGGTAGGACTCTGGTTATTGATGTTCGTGAGAGAACTATATGCCTTACAGTCTGTTACGTAGATACCCATACAGGAGATTATCCACTCTGGACCAGCTTTCCCTGCTGCTTGCTGCGCAGTAGTGGGATTATTCCTCGACATCGAAATTCGTGGAGAACGATGCGAATCTGCCGAGCGGTCAAAAAGGATTATCTACGACTTGATGAATCAAGCTGAAGATGCAGCTCAATTTCTCGAGTTGCTTTGGGCAGTCCTTGACTTTTTGGGCTCGCATCTGGAGACAGGAGAGCTGTTCTTGTCTCGACAAGACATCTGCGACAGCAGTGACAGACACTGTATCGCCGTCCTGGACTGCTTTCGCGTATTGCATACGCTACTTGTCAAGACCATGCGGCATTGGGTGTATTTTTCTTCTGAAGCACTTGCCGAAGTCTTACACTCAACCTTTCGCCTCCTCACTATGTACTCGACGGGAGAAACTGAAGTCGAAGCAAAGCGAATCACTCCTCTAACAATGTTATTCCTAATCGACGAAGATCCAGTGCGTTGGTTTAGGCTGTGGCTGCTCAATGTGCCCAATTCACGGCAACTCTTTTTGGCAATGGATAATTCTGGCTTTGTCGCTGATTTACTCCAGTATTTGACTCGAGTTCGACCACTGATATTAATGAAATCATCGAACTCTTCGGTCGATGCCATCGAAAAGCGCACCGCCCAGTGTGTAAGCCGAGAAAATCTTGTTGGATGTCGTAGTATATGCTAACCTGCCCTGTTTCACTTACCCGCAGGTGTTGGCTGTCTTGTCATACATTTGTGAGTATCAACAAGGGCGAGATCTAGTAAGCCAGTGGCAACGACTACCTGCTCACGCGTATATTAAACAACGGCATACAACTTGGGAGAGATCGGCTCTGGAAAGTATTGCAGCTGAAAATGATTCATTGTATCGTCTAGTGCAACATTTAGTGTCTGCTGAGGTAAGATGTACGCTACCACATTGGGGGATGATAAGGCGAATGTACGTAATTGGCCCTTTATTGACGGATAGGCACCGCGCGATGAGTTGGAAGCGGATTACAAACATCTCGGGAAGGGTGCCGTTGGTGCACTCATCCTGTCGGTTGCAACGGTATGCTACGTCCAAGGCTTAGCTGTGTGCTTATAAGCATTCACAACCTTTAACAACTTCGTATTTTGACGTGTTGTGTAGATTATTGTCACGGTACCGTGTTGGCAAGAGGACGCCTGTGTGATGTTTAATGCACGCTGGGCAACGAGTATCTCCAATAGTGTTGCAAAATACCTTCATTATGCAGACGTTAACGACTTGTTACCAGCGCTCACGAAGGTATGAATGCAAGTAACCCGAGATGTTCCATCCTGTCGATACTGGGACTAACTGGGTGCCTTGTCATAGATTACAGATGCTTGTTGGACACACAAAACGTGTAAAATGTCTGCTACTGAGGAATTGGAAGAAAAGAATCCATGGTTCCCGTTTCGGCAACCAACGACTCTCACTGAAGCTTGTCAATTGGTGATTGACAGTATATCGAAACGAACTCTACGTGGAGTTTTCACTTCAGAGCTTAAATCGGCTGGCAAACTGATCTTACGAATGGTGATGTCAAGCACGGCTGTGATAAATGCTGTTACTCAAACTCCGAATTCTGAAACAGTGGAATTCATTTTTGAGTTATGCAAGCGCTATTTACAATCTTGGCAGTTGGGAACAATGGCCTCAAGGGAGCAATTGTATCAGTGGATGTGCGATTCAAACGGACTTTTCGCCTTGATCACAGATGCAGCAGTAATTCCGCAGGCTTTCAAGATCGCGTATAAAATTGGAGTTATCAACGAAATCTGGAAAATTTGCGGTTCACTTTCAGAGCAAAGAGATAAACAAGAGTTTTCTCGTCTCCGCAGTCGTATCATAAGTACCCTGTTACACTCGACGACAGGGGTGCGCAGCGTGCCGGATACAGTGCTTGTAAATACCTACATGCACAGTCAGACGCATGAATTTGAAGTGCAACATTTTCGTAAAGTTCTGGGGATTCTATCTCATCGGATCTCTGCGCAATCTTTTTTCAACCTCGTTGGCGTTCAAGAAACAATATCCCAGGTTATTACCGAACTTCGAGAGACAGTGGACTTCACGATCGCTCTGAACAGCCCCGACAATGAGTGGTCATCGCAAGTAAACCCTCAAATGAAACGCTTACAATGGCTTCGGTGCTGTTTGAGCTCGCAATTTGCGCCCTCATCGCTGCTTTCAAGCGAAGCCAGTCCGTTGGTTGAATTCATTTCCGAGGCCCTTGCCATCCACAGATCTGGATGCTGTACTAATTCAAGTCACCTGGAAGATACCTGTTGCGTAGCATTTCAGCTGCTCCTTTCGCTAGTGTCGAGTGTGCCGTCGATGCTCGAATGCAGCTGTTGGCTTTCAAAGCTCAAACTCAAAGTGCTACATTTCGACGATAAATGTACACTTCAACGCGACGTCCTGCATAAAACCAACGAAATCCTGGGCCCGTGTTCGTTTCTGGAGAAGCAACTTTGCTACGAATTTGAATTTATCGGCGGACCAAGTGAAAAGCTACCTCAGTGTGAGCTTTTTGCGTTTGATTTGCACTCTCGACAAACTCCAAACACCGGAGAGAAACCTGACCGTGTCATTTCCGAACTCGCCGTTGTATTGCAGAACAAAATCCTCCAAGCAATTAGAGATGGTGTGGAAGCTGGCTTATCGACTCCTATGGATTTCGTACTGATCTCGCAAGCTTCGTGGGAACTCATCAATGACCTTGAGGCTCAATACGGGGTAGAATCACCTTGTATTTCATGCGAATCAATGTGTTCTTTTAGCGAACTCTTTGCCAAACTCACGTACAGTCTCGTCATGAGCAAGCGCAGCCGGTTAGACCACGAAGTAGCTGTGAACCAAGCCTCCAGCTTACCACAGAATGGCGAAACATTCTTCCCCACGGACTCACAGCGGAAGTTGATGAACCGTTTGTACAAGAACTATGCGAGCGGATTATCTCTGGAGTCATCGCCTACCTTGCTGCATTGTATTGTCAAAAAGTTTGGCAAGATTTCTATGGACTGTTTTCCGGTTACGATGTTGATGCTGCTGTATCCAACCTACGGGGAAGCCGAAATCCTGAGTTTCTTGTCGCACTGTCTTGCGAGTCCGTCGGCAGGATTTCTCTGGCCCCGGCGTGCTTCTCAATTCGTGGATGGGGTTGGAGGGGATCACTCGACACTACCAGTTATAGCAATCGCTGAAGGAGTGGAAATCATTCTAGCACGCGAATTTCCTCAGGTGAGTGCCTTTGACGATGGATACAATTGTTAAAACTAACGCTAGGATGCTCAACGAGTGTAGATTTTGCAAGCAATCGATCAGTGTCACTGCTCCTTACTGAGCCTCGTGTTGCGTTGGCTCAGCCAAAGTTTCTGGAATTACTTCGATTGGGAAAATGTAGCTATCTACATTTATTTGAGCATTCTCTACGGGGTCGAAATTCAGGTAAGAGCTTCGACGTGATGCTTTGCGTGGCTGACATTGTGATCTCCGTGCTTTCAGGTTTACATCATTGTTGCAATTTGTAGACATTTGGAACCTACGATGCGGGAGCTGACTGCTAAGAACAGCTCGGAGAGCCTCGCACCTTTCCTCACGCTCACCCGTGAGCCTATTCGGAACTTTCGCTTCAGCCCGTGGCGAGCACTTCTGCTCCGTCTTCGAAGCGAATATCACGAGGAGATAGAAGCCCTATTATTTCCTTCGATAAAACCTGTACTTCAGGTTTCTGTAGTCGGATTCCCAAAACTTCTTGTTTTTGATGCCAAGTACGATTAAAATGCAATGAGCTCTTGAATTTTTGAATCAGACAGCAGAATTGTGCTATGTAGCCAAACGGTACACTCCGGGTTGCAAGGATGTAGTATCTACATTGTAGATTAGGTTCTTCGCTTTCGGCCGAAGTGGATGCTTTTGGGAATTCGCAGCTCTCGCATGGTCTCTTCTAGATCTGCCATCTCGATGTCTGTGACCTCACTCTTGGCATCTTCGGTGTTGGATTCCTCTCCTGTCTTGTCCGTCTTAGACTCTTCATCCACTTGCATGTCAGAACCTCGAAGCTTAGCTTGTTCCGAAAGTTTCTTCTTCTTTTGTTGACGCCTGCGTTTCCGAGCTTCACGCTTCTTGATGGTCTCCCCATCTACTTCTGGCTGCTCATCGCCCTCTGATTTTTTTACACCAGCAGCTCCTTTGCTTGACTTTCCTTTTCTCTGCTTTCGCTTCTGGTGAAATGAAAACGCCTCTGGATATTGATGCACTCGGATTAAGTGTCGCGTCCGCTTGTCATCATGCCGGAAAATCTCCGGACAGCCGTCCACAAGGCAAACATACATCGGCTTCTTCTTGGACAAAATCTTGAAGAAAGCGTCGTGAGTCTCACTACACAATGTCGCCATCGTCAGTTCTGGTGTTTTTGCGAGTGCTCAAAATTCCTTTACCTGATGTGAATATCCAGAAGGCGCAAACTTAAAAACGACCTCGAGCATTCTCGACAAATATTACGGTGCACCCTACAGGTATTGACAAAAAAATCAGTCTCCAGTAAGAACCCCATACTCATATACACGTACATGTCGTAGTGCTCCTCGTACGCCGCAGTGGACTTGAAGCTCACACTGCAATTTGCCAATCGACACGTGATCGGCTCCGAGTGAGCTGCAGTATCTCCCGGCTGCACCATCGATCTGTATCAATACAATTTATTTTAATTTACAAGTGTAATTTTTGAGCTAAGAAATAGCACATTTCAGCAATGCAGTCGCACTCTGGTTCCTGGTAATACTTGGTCGCCCACAGACGCGTTCCAGCGTCGAAGAGTGGGTGCTCAGGCGAGTATCTGCGGACGCATTTGCCGTTCGGCAGCTCCCGAACCTGCTCCATCTTTTTCTCCTTATTTGCGGTATTGGTAAATGTTTTCCAACCTGCAAAATGCCAACTTATCATCAATATCGTGTTGACTACTGTATGCTTTAATGAAAAAGGCCACATATTGCCTTCATCGGTTATCAACGGGCTTTCTTCACATTTAAGATCTACGTAGGATCGTTTGGTTGCCACCTTGGTGCTTGTTGTTGGATTCACAAGAATCGGCAGTTAGTTGTTATCTGCAGGGTCGTCGTCGTGGTTTTGCGGTTCTTGGTCGAGGTCTGTTTCTTCCAATAAGGGTACTGGGGATTTGTTTTCGAGCTGCATCGACTGCGTCAAGAGTCGAAGTGCCGCTCGCTTCACAAGTTCGCTCACTGGTTGCGCGTGTCGTATTGACCCACTGGTCCGGCAATAAAAAAAAGAGTGAGAACTCTGTACCACCCACGCGCTTCATGGTAGACTTACCGACACCACGGACACTCTCTGCGTGGCAGCAAGCGAAGACATGGATCGCACATATAGTGGTGGCACTTCAGAAGCATCACTTTGAGCGGGGTGAAGTCCATCCAGCAAATTCTGTGGATAAACGAACGCATACTATTTGTCAAACTTGACGAAAAGAAGGAGCTGGAAAGTATTCCCGTACGCGCATTCCATGCGATCCGCTGCCAACCTGTGCGCGAGGGTACGCGCAAATTGCACTCGAAATATCGCCTGCTGGTGGTCGTACTGTACGAACAACGGGGCTATTTGGCAGCATGAAGTCAAGGGTTAGCACTTGGTCACCTTTACTAAAGGATAGACATTTTACCTAGGATAGTCGAAGGTACGTGGATAGAGTACCAATTGCTCCTCACTCGAGAATCTTGAAAATAATCGCTGAGCGAATTCCCAAGCCATTCACTCATGAGAAGGTCGCCCACACTCCCGAAGAAAGTTTTAATACTGCGTGCAACAACTTGGTTGTTGGCTTCAGCGTCTGGTTTGGTCGGATGAACTGGCAAGTCCAAATGAGACTCGTTCGCCTCGGGACTTTCTTGGTGCTCGTCGCATGATATTCCAAATATCGAGTCGTCAAAGGCCAGCACATACGCTTCCTTGAGTAACTGGAACAACGTGAAGATGGTGTCACCACCGTAGCGAGCAAACAGTACGAGCGACAGACTTGATACCCGAGAGGCTGCCGTGGCATGAAGCACTGTCTTGGCACGCCGAACTACTTCGACCGGTTTTACGGGATCGATGTTGAGCAGATCGTGAAAGAATTCGTCCAGCTCTCTCGTGCAGCTTGCCGCCTTATACCCAGACAACTTGAGACCGCGTAAGGAGTCTACACGAACTCTGAAGTTCCGACGAGACGGACTCCACACATGGATCGCTCGTCCACGACCACAGTACAGCGCGTAAGTGAGCTGCTTTGATCGCCCCTGCACGATCTGAACGACATCACCGACGTGAAGACCCCATTGTTGATCTTCCTCAGACTGCTCAAGGCGAGCATCTTCAGCATCACCTTCGACAGGTGGCATTGTTGCTGCGATACTCTGTGGGTGCGAGAGCGCAAAATGTGCAATGGTGGTTTGGCGGAGTCTTTCTCACACATGAGCAGTCTAACAAAAATTTCTAGCTTTTCTGTCTTCGGGTAGAGAAACTTTTACAAAGCCTGTTAGTCTCTTACAAATTGCCTTTTCGCATCATGCTCTATGGCTTGCTACAGTCTATCGTACGGTGCATTTTATCTCGACGTCACAAGCACCAAGGCCTTCAGCTTCCACACGTAGAGAACCTGTCGCTCGACCGGGGTGATGGAAACTTAGCGCTACCGTCACAATCGCCGCCAATCCAGGCGCCAAGCGTGCACATTCGCGTTGATAATTCGCTTCCGCAATGCTAGCACTGAACCCCGCACATGTGGCAACTACCCGGTTGACACGAAAGCGTTCCTGACGAAACCCCACGTTTCGGACTCGCACGGGAAACAGATACACTTGTCCTGTTAGCAACGTGCCCAGCGCAAGTGAAGGAGGTGACACCTCTACTGCAAAATTCTGAGTCATCGAGGAAACCACTGGGAGCCGTAGATCTGTAGTAGTTGCTGGACAAGCGAGCGAGAATCCCACGGTCTTCTTCTGCGAGTTTGTATCTTGTGGCGAAGCAGAGTCATTTTGTTCAAATTCATCGTTGCGTTCCCATGACACATCTGCATAAGGAGCGAGTGAAAGCAACTCCGCTCCATCCGTGCGTGATTCAGAACTTGAAAGCGTCGAAGAGCTTTCATCGCTTTTTGGGGCTTTCAGATCGGTAAACCGTGTAGACGGAGAGCAGGGGGGCTTGCGTGACTTTGGGGTGCTCACTGCAAACCGTGACAATGCTGCTAGCGTTTTCTCGTCCGCTAGGTCCACTCCGAAGCCCTTTCGAGCCGATTCGCGTGCAGAGAATGCTGCAAGCGATGAAGGGGTTTCTGGTCTCGCTGATCGACAAGATAACGGGAGTGACAGTGGCTTCAGAGGCCCTGGTGACGGTATCGCTGGAAGCACTGGAGTCCGTGTAGTTAGTCTGTACTCAGGTCCGATAAGTGTTTGAATGCCGTAATCGGTGAGCACCCAGCAGACTTTCATGGTGGACGTGAAAGTCTTCCGCCATAATGAACCATCTTTGAGCCACTTGTCATTATTGTTAGGTGAACCTAGAGAGCCGATAGATTCGGAGGAAGATGAAAACAAACCGGTAGCTGGCAGATTGGATGTAGGCGGTGCCAAGATGGATCGATGTCGATTCAGGTTGCCTACGTCGCGCGAATATTTCATTTTGAAATCGTTGACTTCTTGTGGGTTGTGGCGTGTGATAAAGTCACGACCGCCAACGAACTTGCTCTTGTTGGAAAGCGACCTGCAGCTATAGGGCTGCATGATTTTATAGTCGTCATAGTCTGGGATGGCCATGAGCAGCAAGGCGTTCTTTGGGTCGAGCACCGTGGACTTGCGTGTTTGTCTGGCGATCTGCTCTGTGATGCTCATTTCCATCCTGATGGGCGGCGTGACTCGACCACCGGAGCGAGATGGAGGCGCAGGTGTTGACGCAGTGAGTAGCATCGAGCGAGTGGTAGACCGTCGATGTGCAGGTATTGGTAATGAACTGCAGCTATTGCTGTTGTTCCCTGTTGGTGTGGAGCTCCTGGTCTCTTGAATGGCTCGAGTTGATGGCATTTTGGACGGAGGAACCACCGTAGGTGAGGACATACGTATTGCAGCGTGAGTATCCGCCATGACCGACTGCCACTCTTGTAGTATAAATGAAGAAGGTCGATGTGAGGTTGTCGCTGCGTCAGACCATTTGAAAAATGCACGCAACAAAAATGCGAATATAGATGGAGCTGTAAAAATAGGTGGCAAAGCAACAGCGGTTGAATCTTGCGGCGAATCCTAGTGATTCCAGCATCGAGGCAGGATGACCCAGTAACCTTTGAGTGAATGCAATAGAACACAATACTCACGTAGGCATCATACTTATGACGCTGTACTCAACAGCATTATCAGCATTAGCACAGTCAATCCGTCGTGGTCACTTCAACTTACTTGAAACATTTGATTGGTGGCAATAAAGTAGTGAAATCCAATTCTGGCCAATACCGTCGCCGCGCGTGAGATCTTCTTATTGGTTGAAATGGGTTTTCCTCTCGAAGCTCCACGTATAGAGGGGGCCGCGCTGTCGTAAGATAAGGAAAGGATTCTTGTTGCAAAATGGTGAGTGTCTCTGTCATCTCCACGCCGCTCTGCTCACGCGCAGAACGTTGCCACCTCTTCATCTACACTTCTCTGGCAAACTCCATCGTCTCCTTTCTCTATGTCCATTTGTTCCAAGATCTAACTCGCTCTGGGGACGTCACTATTTGTTTTTATCCGTCGCGTAGGTGGTGCTCTCGGCCGCCTTGCTGACCAAAAATGGCAAAGGTACGGCAACACACAGCCTCGAATGATCCAAGCAGCAATAATCACTGCGTTTTACGCTTCGTATTCGACTCACCGCATGGCTATATCGTGTCTGTAGTGCTCGTGGCGCGTCAGTTCGTAGAGATCACCCGCATCCGTCTCGAGGTACGTGGACACAACTGCAACAATTTAGTATTTTATGGGATTATTAACATAATTGGGGTTTTATTGACAGGGTCTGCTAGCAGCGTTCCCTAAACTGCTATCAAGCGGCTCACGCGAGCACACGTTCATTGACACGGAGAGTGTGCGCTACGTTTATCAGCCCTTGGAGAGCTTCTTCGTGCTCATTATCACCAACAAGACCAGCAACATTGTAGAAGATCTACACACAATCCAAGTGCTCTCCAAGCTCGTGCCGGACATCTGCGCGCCGCTGAGCGAGGCGTCCATCCGTGACAAGCAGTTCGAGTTGGTCTTCGGCTTCGACGAGCTCATCACGGCCGGCGGCCACTCGGAGAATATCAATGTGTCTCAGATCCGTGTCAATATGGAGATGGAGAGCCACGAGGAGAAGCTGCACAACATGATCCTCGAGAGCAAGCGCGCTGCCGCCAAGGATGACATGAAGCGCCACACGGCACGTATCAAGGAGGAACAGCGTGAACGTGCGCGTCTGGAGCGTGCTGGAATGGGCGGCAGTGGGTTCGGATCGCAGAATTCGTTTGGTAGTTCGTTCAGCAACGCGTTCAAGTCGCCACGTAGCGGTGGCAGCAGTGACAGCTTCATGAACAGCCCCAGATCTCCAGCTGCGACCTCTCCGATCTCATACAACAGCCGTCCTGAGCCTGTGGTGTCCAAGGCTGCTGGTATGAAGCTGGGCAGCTCGAGTAGCAGCAAAGGGATGGGTCTGGGTAGCGGCGGCAAGTCGTTCATGGACGCTATGGCCGCTGAGGACGGACTGAAGGAGATCCCGCCTATGAGTGCAGCTGTGGAGACTGTGCAAAAGCCTGAAGTAGCTGTTGCAGTCAGCCACGACCCGATTGGAGCTGTGGTGGAGGAGAAGATTACGGTTGTGTTGACTCGTGACGGCGCATTGGAGCAGCTGGAGGTTAAGGGCAGTATGTACGTGTCAGTGAACGATCCGAGCGCTGGCTGCTGCCATCTTAAGCTGCGTACAGGAGGCGTGGAAGGTATTTCGTTCCAGACTCATCCTAAGGTGGACAAGAAACTCTATGATAGCGACTCGGTGCTGGCTCTGCGAGATCCGACCAAGCCCTTCCCTACGTCTCGTGTCGCGTTCCTGCGGTGGAGCTTGAAAACACAGGACGAGTCGATGCTGCCACTGAACATTACGTGCTGGCCCGAAGAGGAAGGCAACGGCAAGATGAACGTCAGTGTCGAGTATTCCTTGGACCGCGACATGGTGCTGGACAATGTGAATGTTGTGATCCCCCTCGGAGGCTCTGACGCCCCCAGTGTGGCAAACGTGGACGGACAATACCAGCACAACTCGGCCGAAGGATCGCTTCTTTGGCATCAGGACCAGATCAGCTCTGCGTACGTATTTAGGTCTAAAGTATTCCTCTGTTTGTGGACTAATTTTTGTTACCTTTTTAAAGGAACAATTCGGGCACGCTGGAGTTCTCGATTCGCGGCAACAACATGGACGCGTTCTTCCCCATCTCCGTCTCGTTCTTTTCGCGCAGCGTGTATAGCGACGTACAGGTGGAGGCTGTTCAGAAGATCGAGGACGGCTCGCCCATTGCGTTTGGGTTCGAGAAGCTGCTCTCCACGGACTCGTACCAGATTGTTTAGAAATTCCTTCACGTAAGACCGGCGCGCGTGTGGCTGCTAAGATAGCAGACAGTCTACTCTTATCGCGTGTTGTTTGTCCCCATCGTGGCTTTAAACCAGAAACAGATACAAAATCAAAGCCAAACTGTGTGTGTTTTGTGCGTTCTATCGGGTCTATGGGGTAGCTTTGGGTCGGAACACTTGGGGCTGTGAGGCTCGGAGCAGCTCCTCGCTCTTGCTGCGCATACAGCGCTCCAAGTGTCTCTTGGTCTGTGCACAGTCGCGGATATGCTTCTGCCCTGCCAGCACCGAGCTGATACAGGCTTTCCACTCAAGAATAGGCTTCTCACAGAGCGCTGTGCCGGTACAGTTGAGGTACTCGCCGTACAGCATCTGCGGCGGCTTCGGTGCGGCGTCGGTGTCCTTGGGGCCATCCTGGCTGGAAGCTGAGTCTCCGTTGACCAAGGCGGTGAACTGTTCATCGCAGCTCCTTAGGCCTCGATACTTGCCGCTGAGACGACGGTCTGACTCCAATGCGAGGACTCCACGTTCTCCAATAGTACCATCTAGCAGCATCTGAGGACATGTGGACAAGTTAGACAATGCTTTATATTGGAGTTTTTGAGAGGCTATAAGAGGTGAACTTTCGGGAGGAACTAGAAGAGATTCTAAATAAGATGAGAGTATATGATGAGTACCTCATGGAGACGCACGGTGGACAGGCATTGAGGCGGAGCGATGTCCTCGACTTTTCTGGACACCGATTGTCCCTCCATGGATGCCATTCGAAAATGACAAGCTAGTGGATGTAACACACATTACGGTACAAAATCTGCGACGTGTGCAACTTTGATTACCCGTAATTTACATCAGACATTTACGCTTCTATCTACTGTACTAGTTAAAAAAAAAAAAAAAACTGTTGATCCGACAAAGGACATCCTTGAGATTTTAATAAGTTGATCCGACTAATGCCGTGCTGCGCCCAGAAAGCTCTGGATATTTGGATACTTAATGTTTAATATTACATTTTTATATTATTTGTCAATACTAATGAAGTACATGCCGTAACAACGCTAAAAAATGAAACTCGTTCAAAGTTTTTTTTTTTAAGAAACAAACTACTTTTTTCTAAAACAAATTCTTTAGTGCACATTCAAAAAGTGTTTCTTTTAAATTTTGAAATCCTAAAATACCTTTTTCAAAACGTCTCCATTTCAAAAATTGGTTTTTAATGGAAAACACCAAACGTTCATTTTTATTATTTTTTTTATTTTCGGCGAAAACAAAACCCTGAAAATCTGATCATTCTTAGCTTAATGCTGTGGCGGAGTAGGCCAGAGATATGGAGAAGGGAAGGAGTCGGATGCTACGTGAGACGGATTGTGTGGAGGATATAATGATGTATATAATGAGCTTTTTTTCACGATAAGTTTGATTTGGTGGAGTTCGCTACTGTGTTTTATTTCGACATATCCATACAGGTTGTTTACTTTTGGTACTGTAGGTGGGCAGACATCAATAGAAGCATATATAAGCTACAGGTAGGCTATTCCAGCTTACATGAAGCTCTACAGTAGTATATATTTTCGAAAGGTTACTTTTTCTTCAAGTACTTCTCTCCTTATGTCAAGTCCATCATTATTTTTCGTGTGATTCGCATGTGAACGGGTAGAAATCGTTGCAGTGCAAAATCTTGAATACCTTCGCCAGTAAACACCATCACCGGGTATTATCCAGCTATTTCAGCATATACGAAGCTATACAGTTTCGTAAAACTCACTTCTTCTTCAAGTGCTTCTCTCCTTATATCAAAAATCGCCATTATATTTCGTGTCGATTGACAAGAAGTTGTTGTCAGGGAAAACAATTGAAGTGCTTTCATCATAATAGGATAAAATCACTTCAATTTACGTTAATACGAATTCTGGGATAGCTTCTCGCAAGGCAGGTTGAGGATGCCTTCAGTGACTTCAGAAAAGGGTCGTGTTAAGCTACATAGTCACTGAAGTTTGCTTTTAAAGCTAAGTACTCACATGTAGAAGGAGTGCTTCGCACCGACCATCGTCAGCGCTCATAACAAATGCGCTGGGGGCATGCTACCAAAACCGAAAAGCAAGAACAACACTTCGTGCGCGAATACGGATGCCCCCCCCCCCTGCCAGCGACACTGGGACTTTTTACTTTTTTAGTTGAGAATTTGATGTTTGCCGTCTCTAAATCAATTTCAAACGTATCCCAGTGTTAATTTCGTATTGAGTACATGTGCTGCATCGAGATGCATGTATATCTGAAGCTGGACGCACGACATTTGTGTGATTGTATTTATTAACTGCCCGTCGTTCTAGTGGCTTCAATCCCTAGGGAAATAATAAAAATCGAGCTTCTAAGCGAAAATCGTCCGCAACAACAGCAAACAACAGACCACCGCAATTTCTAACTGGAATTACGGGTAACTAAAACCATTACAAATCGGGAGCTACATGTAGCACTTGCAACACCCGCCGGTAAGTAAAAGTCAGAATTAGAGTACACCTCTGGACGACTGAGCGTGACGAGGGATCCGTGGACCCGCACTAACATCCTCGGTTTCATCATCGTCAACATCGTAGTCTTCATCGTCGATACTGTTGATGGTGACGCGTGTGGGCTGCTCGAGACTGCTGATGTTCATGTACGGCTGACGAGGACGCCGAAACACGCGACGGTACAGATAGGCCAGAGTGAGCACGATGATCATCGCGCACGAGCTCATAATGAGGTATCCGAACTGAAGCAACCCAGAGGATGCCTTGTCGTCCAAGCCCGATCCATTGGCAGCTAAAGCAGTGGTGCCTTGAGGCGTGCTAGAGGAAGAAGACTTGGATGTCCCATCGTCGGAAGCCTTCAACTCATCGTCGAGGGTGTTGTCGTCGTTATCCTTGCTGTCTTCACTGTCCTCGCTTTCGTCGTCGGAGTCGCTGTCGCCCTCGTCTGTAACCTTGGTACGCTCAGATTCTTTAGCAGACGATGAAGTCGTCGTCTTAGCCGAAGCTTCGTCGCTTGAGTCTTCACTTTCTTCTTCGTCGTCAATGTCCGCGGCTTTTTTTGTGCGATCTTTACCAATAGTTGGCAGATCAGTACTGTCATCGCTATCATCATTTTCGTTGTCGCTTGAAGCGCTTGGAGCAATCGATGTTGACGCATCCGACGATGAGCCACGAGTAATATCTGAAGAAACGTCATTCGTCTCGGAATGTTTTGCAGTCTCGATGTTGATGACCTAGCACGATAAACACATAAAGTTAGTACCGCAATTTACATTCTCAGGCGATGAATGCAGAGCACATACCGGGGATGTCCACTCGAGAGCAGCCTTTACTCGACGGCCATTCCACTCAAAATTCCAATCCGGGTTCGTTCGAGCATTCACAAGGTGAGACTGCGGCGGGATGTGAGGTGAAGGTGCATCGTCACCAGTGCCTTGCTTCTTCCAGTCCTAAAATACAAAACATCGTATCAGTCTACAGTTGAAGCAGATTAAGATCTGCTATGGGCTCACCTGATCGACTGTGGCTACAGCTCGAACGTATAGCTTCTCCGAGGTGACATTACCCAGATCAAGACATGTAACAAAGAGCGAAGTCCCCAATGTGTCGACGTTAGCAGCCGCAGCTTGAGAGGAATCCGATGCGAATTCATAGAATCGCCGGGTCGTTCCTTTCTGCGTTGACGTCTCCATTAAAATGGCATCAACTTCGAACGTCGCGCTTGAAGACACTTGAACGTGAGTGCTGTCCACAGTGAGAGCACCAAGCACCTCCCACGCGATCTGAACCTTGGAGTAAGCAGAGTTAACCACACTGCAATCGGACATGCTACACGTCGCAACCTCGTTGCGTTCCCATGCCAAGGCACCGCATCCCATCTCAGTGACTTGATTTGCATCGGTAGTGTACAGGCTCGCTGCAGGGAAGACATTCAGCAACTCTTGGCTTTGAGACGACCCTGCTGCACCCACCCAACGCACCAGAGGCTGGGCCATTTCGATCATCATGAGTGCCAGACGGACGTTCCGTGGTACGTGACCTACAGACTCGGTCGTGATCCCTTCAGTCCGGAAGAAATCGACGTTTGCTTCATACAGTTCCTTGAAGTTTCCCAAATCTGCTGTGTTAGGTTCCTTGCTGTTCGACGTCTCCACCAACATGTTGAAAGCGCGATGGGTGATGTTATTGTAGATGGTCTTCTCCTTCGGATACCCTCCAAACGTAGTCGGCTCGCACGGATGGAAAGGCTGCGATTTCGCGTCGTAAAATTGGTTTTCCCACGACGCCGCGTAGCCCCAATCCTCCATTCCACCTACAATTCATTTACAACGTTGATACAGCTTTGTAATAACTATATATGTAGTAAAATTTACGTACCGGTGACACCATAAACAATGTCGTTCATCGTTCCAGTCGGGTAGAGTTTGCCATCCGGGAAAACCCCAGCAAAGTTGGCCAGCGTGTTGCCAATCTGGAACTGCGCCATGTGATCAGGAGACTTTTCGCTCGGGTTGTTCTCTTTGCCGTTGAGATAGTGATCCGGTGAGCCCCACTCGTAAGCCACTGCTCGAGTGCCGCCATGGAAAGTCACAGCTAGCTGGAAGATATGATCTCTCCAGATCTCGTTAACTACACGAGATGTCATCGTCTGCATGCACTCGACACCTGATCTCATGTAATTGTAGTCTCGGTTCGGATCCACCGTCAACTCCTCGCGATGGTTGTGTGAGTAGCCATAAGCGTTGGTCATCGGCGTCACCAGCACGTTCCTAGTGTTCACCAGCTCCTTGAGCCATCGCTGCGTGTCCAATGTCGGCTTCGCGTTATCGTCTGTGCCATAAATCGACGTAGCGTGTGCAAGTAGACCAATCAGCTCAATCGCCGCATTAGGGCCGACCCGTTCATTGCCGTGGAGTGCTCCACTGATAAACACTTCGGGTCTTTCTGGGTCGTTGGCTAGCGTCGAATGATTGGTCAAATGCACCACGTACTGCTTACAGGGCTCTGTGGCTTTGCTTTCGTCGTCTATAATGCACTGAAGCTCCTTGGGGTACCGCAGATTGTACGTGTCTTGAGCTATCGACACCTGCACGACATCGGGGAACGTGGCGTTGAGCTCCAACAAGTACCTAGTCATTTCCGCATACGTCTTGTAGTTAATGGGTAGCGATTGCGGATTGGCGGAGGTGGGGCCTAGCAGCCCCACGCCCAATAACGCCAGCAATAGGCAGCGAAGGAGCATCGTCGAGTGTCGATACACTTGTCCTTTTGCACGGGTAAAATGAGCCAGAATGAGCTAAAATATTATAGGGTTAGGCTAAACTGAGATGGCTACAAAATCGATAAGATGGCTACAGAGTCGATTAGATGGCTACATTGTAGACG